CTTCTCCTGACAATCTTTTCCATGTTTTTTGCTGCTATACATGTCATTTGACACTGGTCGTAGTTTAGTGCTTCATGTCTGTCCCCTTTTTTTAAAGATTGGGACCACATTTGTTTTCTTCCATGCCTCAGGCAATCTCCCTGTTTCAAGTAGATGTATTGAATATTGTTGTTAGGGGTACACATAGTGCCTCTGCTCCCTCTCTCAGGACCCATAGGAGAGATGTTATCTGGCCCCATTGCCTTAGAGGTATCTAGCTCACTCAGAAGCCTCTTCACTTCTTCCTCGGTTGTGTGTACTATGTCCAGCACATGGGGGTGTACCCCACCTCTCCGTCTTTCTGGGGCCCCTTTTTGTCTCCTCTGTGAACACTTCTTGAATCTCTTGTTGAGTACCTCACATACTTCATGGTCATTTCTTGTTGTCTCTCCTTCCTTCCTTGGCCTGATTACCTGGTCCTTAACGGTTGTTTTCTTCCTGATGTGGCTGTATAACAGCTTCGGGTCAGATTTGGCTTTTGCTGCTATGTCGCTTTTCATATTGACGTTGGGCCTCCCTTCTTATCTGTGCATATTCGTTTCTGGCTCTACGACTGCTCTCCTTATTCTCCTGGGTCCTTTGCCTTCTATATTTCTTCCATTCCCTAGCACACTTGGTTTTTGCCTCCTTGCATCTTTGAGTGAACCATGGGCTCATCCTGGCTTTTTCATGATTCCTGTTACCCTTGGGTACAAACCTCTCCTCAGCCTCCTTGCACATTATTGCTACATATTCCATCATCTCATTAACTGGCTTCCCTGCCAGTTCTCTGTCCCACTGAACCTCATTCAGGAAGTTTCCTCATTCCTGTGTAGTCCCCTTTCCTGTAGTTTGGTTTCATTTGTCCTTGCCTTCCTGCTTCCCCCTCCACTTGTAGCTCTACTGTGTATTTGAAGCTCAAAACCACATGATCGCTGGCCCCAAGGGGTCTTTCAAATGTGATGTCCTCAATATCTGCACTACTTTAAGGTGAATACTAAGTCCAGTCTTGCTGGTTCATTTCCTCTCCTCTCTCTCTTGTAGTGTCCCTTACGTGTTGGTACATGAAGTTTTCCAGTACCACCTCCATCATCTTAGCCCCCCATGTATCTTGGCCCCATGTGGGGTCCAAGTTCTCCCCTTCGATCTCCTTGTGGGTTAAATCGCCCATGATCAGGAGCTTGCCCTGCATGCATGAGCACTTCTGGGCCACCCGCAGCCAGGGGTTTTCAACCATCGCTCTATTGCTCTCGTCATACTCTTGCCTTGGCCCCCTGCTGTTCTGTGGTGGGTTATACATCACTGCAATTATCACCTTGGGACCACCAGAGTGAAGCGTTCCCCGCTATGTAATCACTTTCTTCTCCGCTGTCTCCTCTCTCCCAGCTCATCAAAATTCCATCGGTGTTTGATCACAATGCCACTCCTCCACCCCACCTGTTCCTTCTGTCTTTTCTCAGGATCTGGTATCCCGCTGGAAAGATGGCATCTGTTATCATACCTGTAAGCTTGGTTTCTGTGATCGCATGATGTTGGTGATGCCTCTGACTCTTTCGTGCCACTCCTCCCACTTGTTTGTTATTCCATCAGCGCTTGTGTACCATACCTTCAGTTTCCTTTCCAACACTGTGGTTTGGGGGGGCCCGTGGGGGTGGGAGACCTGGTAGCTTACTGTGGGATTCTATGGTTGGGGGTTTGGTGGAAAACTGTGGGGATGGATTGTATTGTGTGTTGGGATGGTGTGATAGGGTTTTGGGGGTTTTGAGGATAGTTGTGTGTGTGCTTGCCCTTGCTGCTCTGTTCTGCTCTGACTGACTCTGCTGGTTCCATTCCCTTTTCTCCTTTCCTAGCTCCTTTCGCTTTTTTTGTCCTCTCCCTCAGCTGCTTTCTCTCTGTTTGTGTTCTGTCTCTGTCTAGGAACACCTTGTACTCTTCCAAACTTTTTAACCGTGGTTTCTCTTGGAGGATCCTGTTCCGCACTGTTTCTGTCCTGAGAATCAGCTTGACGGTCGTTTCTCCCCTTCAAGTACCCTCCCCCTATTCTCTGAAAATTTACAACTCTCAACCATGTCTTCTCCCCCCATTTCCGTGATGATTTTATCAATCTCCTTTCTTTCTTCCTGCCCTCTTTCAGTTGGGGTGTCCTTTCCTTCTCTCTCCCGAAACCCATGGATAATCACTGAATTTGCCCTTTCCTCCTCCCATTGCCTCTTCCTCTGTGACTCTGGTTCCTGTCAATATGTGGTCATTTTTCCCTTGATTTTTCCAGTTTGGGTCTTGGTATCATGGTTGTGCCTCAGCATTCGACCTATCTCCTCTCCATCTGCACCCATCTGCTCTTCCCTTCCACTCACTGGCCCTTCTTTGCAGGTGATATGACCTTAGCATAATTCACATCTCCTTCCCTTTCCCGTTCAGCCTCTCATCATCGTATGTTGTGTCTTCTCTGGTCACTACCCCCTGAGACTTTTTTTCAGCCTGTTTACCTCAAATTCTAGGACCTTTACCCTGGGTACTGCAGTTTTGACTTGGGGCCTCCCATTTCTTCGTCTCCTTCTCCAACCTCTTTCTCCATTTCACAGAGAGCCCCCTTTCTCCATTTTTTTTGGAAAGCTCTCCTAATTTTCTCTCCCATTCTTGCTCTATCCTTTTCCCTGTTCCTCCCTCCATTCCTCCCTACCAGTACCATTGTCATCTGATCCCTGATTCCCTGCGAGTCCCAACCTTTTTTTTTTTTTTTTTTTTTTTATGAAAGAGAGAGAGAAAGAGAAAAAGAAAAAGGGGGGGGAGAGTGAGAGATAGGGAGAGAGAGAAGGGGAGCCTAGAAGGAGGGGGAAAAGAAGGAAAAAGGGGGAGAAAGTGAGAGAGGGAAAAGGTAAGAGAGAGGGGGGAGTGACAAGGGGAAAAGAGAGAAAAGAAGAGGGAAGAGAGAGAGTAAGAAAGGAAGAGAGAGAGGGAGAGGGAGAGGAAGAGAGAGAGAAAGAGTGAAAGGAAGAGAGAGAGGAAGAGAGAGAGGATGAGATCCACTTCGAGGACAGCGTGAAACAAGCTTTTATGCCACAAGACGGGCAGAAAGCAGCAACTTCACTCTGGCTGTACCCTTCCCCAGAACATCACTCCATCTGAGATCATACATACCCAGGATGACTCGAGTATGGAACACATTCGTACAGCATAATGATGTCAACGAGATAAAGTCAGTTGATCAAATGAAAATGCTGGCCCACAGATGGCTCCAACTTCATCCTGTTTCCTACTTGTATGTCTCATAACAATAAAAATGCTTTCAAATGGGGCTGATGTAGGTAACAGCTCTTAGCTTGCCAATAAAGTTAGGAATCCTTAACCTGTAAATAGCTGTCAATAAAGCTAGGGATCCTTAACCTGTCAAACCCTGTGTAAAAGAGAGAGAAGAGAGGAGAGAGAGAGAGAGAGAGGGGGGGGGAAAGGAAAAGGGGTTTTAGGGTCACTTCACAGGAAGGTTTTAAATCCTGTATATGTGTGTGTGTGTGTGTGTCTATAATGTGTGTGTGTGTCTGTAAAGTGTGTGTGTGTACTCACCTAATTGTACTCACCTAATTGTGGTTGCAGGGGTCGAGATCAGCTCCTAGCCCCGCCTCTTCACTGATCGCTACTGGATCCTCTCTCTGCTTTCCCGAGCTTTGTCATACCTCTTAAAACTATGTATGGTTCCTCCTCCACTACTTCACTTGCTAGGCTATTCCACTTGCTGACAACTCTATGACTGAAGAAATACTTCCTAACGTCCCTGTGACTCGTCTGAGTCTTCAGCTTCCAGTTGTGACCCCTTGTCCCTGTGTCCCCTCTCTGGAACATCCTATCTCGCCCACCTTTCTATTCCCCCCCAGTATCTTGTATGTCGTTATTGTCCCCCCTGACCCTTCTGTCCTCCATGTCGTCTTTCCCGTTTCCCCCTTAAACCCTTTCCCGTACGACTTTTCCCTTGACTCTGGGCTACCTTTTTGCAAACCTTTGAAACTTTCCTAATTTCTTGAGCCTTGACCAGGTGTGGGTTCCAGATGGTGCTGCAACCCAGTTGGGCCTAACAACACAGGTACAGTGTCTTTAAACGATTCCTTTTTAAAATTATGGGAAACGCTATTTCGGGTTTGCCAGGCCCCGTATGCTGCACGGTTATTTGGTTGATGTGTGCCCCCGGGTGATGTGCTCGGTGTTATGGTAACCCCCAAGGCTTCCCTGATGAGGTCTTAGTTTTTTCCACCCCAGCCCAAACTCTGTCTGCGGTCTTCTTGCCCCTCCCCAATCTTCATGACTTTGCATTTGGCTGGGTTGAATTCGGGAAGCCATTGTGGACCCCATGTCCGCCTGTCCCGGTCTCTTTGGAGCCCCCTATCCTCGTCCGTTTAATTCTTCTCATCAAATTCACGTCATTGCGAACAGGGACACTTCAGAGTCTATTTCCTTTCCCTCATGTCTTTTTACAATATCAAAAATAGCACTGGTCCTAAACGACCCCTTGGGGCCCCGCTCGAAAAAGGCGCCCACTGTGATCCTCTTCACTACCATGACTCGTTGCTGCCTCCCTGTCAGGTATTCCCTTATCCCTTGCAGTGCCCCCCCTTTTTCGTGCGCCTGATCCTCCAGCTTCTGCACTAATCTCTTGTGGGAACTGTGTCAAAGGCCTTCCTGCAGTCTAGGAAACGCAATCTACCCACCCCTCTCTCTCGTGTCTTACTTCTGTTACCTTGTCATAAAACTCCAGAAGGTTTGTGATACAAGATTTGCCTTCCATGAACCCATGCTGGTTTCCATTTATAATCTTGTTCCTTTCCAGGTGTTCGACCACTCTCCTCCTGATAATCTTCTCCATGACTTTGCACACAATACATGTCAGAGACACAGGTCTGTAGTTTAGTGCCGCGTTTCTGTTTCCTTTCTTAAATATGGGGACTACATTAGCTGTCTTCCATTTCTCAGGTAGTTTGCCCAGTTTTCAAGGGATGTGTTGAAGATTGTGGTTAGAGGCACGCACAGCATCTCTGCTCCTTCTCTAAGGACCCATGGGGGGATGTTGTCCGGTCCCATCGCCTTTGAGGTGTCAAGGTCACTTAAGAGCTTCTTCACCTCCTCCTCAGTTGTTCGTATGTCATCCAACACTTGTTGGTATATTCCCACTTGATGTTCCCTTCTGTGCTGTCTTCCCACAGCCCTTCCTGTCTCTACTGTAAAAACTTCCTTAAATCTCCTGTTCAGCTCCTCACATACCTCCTGATCATTTCTTGTGAGTTCTCCACCTTCTGTCCTTAATCTGATCACCTGGTCTTTGACTGTCTTCCTCCTGATGTGGCTATACAACAGTTTAGGGTCAGTCTTGATTCTCGATGCTATGTCATTTTCATACTGTCGCTGGGCCTCCCTCCTTACCTGTGCGTACTCATTCCTGGCTCTGCGACTGATCTCCCTATTTTCGTGTGTTCACTGCCTTCTGTACTTTTTCCATTCTCTATTGCATTTTGCTTTTGCCTCCTTACACCGTCGGGTAAACCCGACGGTGTTTGTGTGTGTGTGTACTCACCTAATTGTACTCACCTAATTGTGGTTGCAGGGGTCGAGACTCAGCTCCTGGCCCCGCCTCTTCACTGATCGCTACTGGATCCTCTCTCTCTCTGCTTCCTGTGTGTGTGTGTGTGTGTGTGTGTGTGTGTGTGTGTGTGTGTGTGTGTGTGTGTGTGTGTGTGTGTGTGTGTGTGTCTGTCTGTCTGTCTGTCTGTGTGGGGGATAGGGATGGGAAGGATGAAAACACAATGAGATTTATTGAGTGGAGGGAAAATCTTCAGAAACTCCCAGCACGGAGCGGACCAGATACATGACGGGAGTCTCCCTGACGAACCCCAGCCCCTCATGGAATCTTATGGAAGCCTCATTTTTGTCCACAATGATAAGTGAGGCACTTGTGCCTTCTCTCAGCAAGTGTGTTACCAGGGCGAGAGTGACAGCCTTACCGAGGCCCATCCTGCGATATTTCTCCAAGGTAAATGTGTTCCCAATAGTGTTACGCGATGTGAACTGTGCCCACGCTAAGGGTTGTTCCGTGTCTTCCAGTGCTGAATCTTCAGTGCCCTCTGTAGTGTGGGGTGAAGGGCAAGGGTAGACAGCATAGCCAGGGAGAGCTTTCACCATCTCAGTATATTCCTCAATGTTCTCAAGTTGGTTATGCTCCCAGTGTTTGAAAAGAATATGAGCGTGATGCGGTTCCACAGGTCCTATCCTTAATCCCTCTGGTAACCTGGAGGAAAAATCACCGATAGTACATTAATCTGACTTTTTATGCCTTTAAAATCTAGATGCAATGAGTATGTTTTTAATTAACAGTACAAATTACTAATATTTACTATAATAGATAACTTCATAGGGTGTTCAAGCTCATCGACTACTTGAAAGTTAATAAAACTGTCTGGAACCTGTTCACTACTAGTCAGGAAAACTTTAATGCCCAAAATATGATTGTAATTAACCCCTCAGCGTATTAATTCAGCATATATGATCTGACAGAAGAACTCTGTCCATATACTTTTAACTATACCAGGAAGGTCACGGCAGTATCTTCAAATGTCACTAATTTCGTTGGTTAATGAATTTTATTTTTTATTATTGGTCTCAGCTGAAAAACTAGTATTTTTTTTTACTTTATTTATAAACTACCATTTTTCGTTTATAACAACATGACAACATTGCAAAAACAAAAACGTTAAATTCATATGCAAAACTGTAAAACGCTTCATAATTAGACAGTTTAAAAATCTAAGTGTGGCAAATTTAGAACTAACACACAAATTAAAAATAGACAATAGACGTTTTGGTCCATTTTGGATTAATTTTAAACCGATAGTAATTTAAGCAGAACAAAAATTTATCTACTGTTCATTGCCACTTCATAGGTGAATAGTTTAAGTCATGATACAGATATTTAAACGTATGGGTGTGTAAAATATAGTTCATAGGAAAAAGACTCACATAAAACGAGTAGCACGTCTACATACAGTACCTGGGAGAGGCGGAGGAAAGAGTAGCCTGGGTTATAGTGTACACGTGAGCGTCAATAACGGGGTCAGCTATTAATTTACCTCCTTCAAGTACGCCGGTCCTGATCATCTCATCCATCTGATACGATAAAGAAACATTTGTGTCACAGGAAATAATGTCAATATATATGGGACAAACAGATAATGGAAAATATCAGCAACACAATGCTCACCAAGGCTTTTGGAAAGGACAAAGCTCGTCTCCTAGCGGTGGAGGCACCACATTTAGATTTCCTTTCAGCTGTTCCCAATTCCTTGGGCACTAGAGTCGACCCAAAGTTTAGTTTAATATGTTTATTATGCACCCCATACCCATCCTGTGGGCGGTAGTCAAAAGATTACAGAGGTACATAATTGGTCCAGGGACTGGACTCCAGAGTTTTGATAGCTGAGCAAGTTACAGAGGTAATGTACTCACAATTTACAAAGGTAATGAACTCACAATTTACAAAGGAAATTAACTCCAGGTAGGTCGCCCCAAAGGCAATTCGGATTGGTGTTGCTCTTCGCTTAGCCACCCTCATACTCATCGAATATAGGTGTACCTGTGGCAGGGCGTCAGCTGATCATTTCGGACTACAACTGCGGCTTGGATAGGAATCGATCCTGCGTTCCCATGCCCAGCCCGATGTGAACTGAGCGAAATATGCATCACTCTATCCATTGGACCACCATCCTTAAACACCAGGCTCCTAGCAATACTGAGCATGTTATCCTGATGCAAGGACATCCGAGGTCATGGAGCATCAGAGGTGAATTTCAGCCTCATCCTGTGTGGTGTACCAGCATCCACGAGCAGTCTATATATCAATTAAATCACGAAACAAGTGACTTAACAATTAACAGTAATGCGGGCGCGTGTTGTTTAAGGATGGTGGTCCAATAGAGTGATGTGTACTTTGTTCAGTTCGTACCGGGCTTTGTTTTTCTTGTCGATGTCGAGGGACTGTTACAGCGCCTACAGTAACGACCGAAGAAGAATTGCGAATTTTTGGACGAATTGTTCAGCTCTGATGTTGATAGACTGCAGATATATGAAGAAATTTTGGAATGTAGAATGATGCTATCAAGTTGAGCCAACATGAAAATATCAAGACCTGAAGAGCCTCTGGAATTTATTGTTCAGTATGGAGATGAAAGCATCTTCCCCAATCTTTGTAGTTTTAATTAGATAATGTTAACCATCACATTTTCCAACACGGGTTCTGGGAGATCATTCAGCAAGTTAAAACTGATTCTTTCGTATCTGAGAGCCTCCATGCCTCAAGGCAAACTTTGAGATCTTGCTCTGCTGAGTGTATAAAGAGAAGAAACGGAAAAAAAAAAATGAATTTGATCACGTCAGTGAAAGCATGGAAGGTGAAACTAATTTTCATGTTGTGCCATAATTTGCCAATGAAAAGATTAAGGAGCTTACATGGAATTTACCTGGAGAGGGTTTCGGGGGTCAACGCCCCCGCGACTCGGTCTGAGACAAGGCCTCATGGTGGATCAGGGTTTGATCAACCAGGCATTTACTGCTGATTGCACGCAAACTGATGTACGAACCACAGCCCGGTTATTAAGGTGCTGGCTTTACGTGCCTGTCCAATGCCTTCTGGAAGACAGCCAGGGGTCTATATATAATCCCCTTTATGTATGCTGGGAGGCAGTTGAACAGTCTTGGGCCCCGGACACTTATCGTGTTGTCTCTCAGTGTACTCGTGGCGCCCTTGCTTTTCATGGGGGAATGTTGCATCTCCTGCCAAGTTTTTTGCTTTCGTAGGGAGTGATTTTCGTGTGCACGTTTGGTACTAATCCCTCTAGGGTTTTCCAAGCGTATATTATCATCTATCTCACTCGCCTGCGTTCCAGGAATACAAATCAAACGCCTTCAACCGTTCCCAGTAGTTTAGGTGCCTTATCGTACTTATGTGTGCTGTGAAAGCTCTTTGTACACTATCCAGGTCAGCAATGTATTTTGATAGGGGTAAAATGTTTGGACAGGGGCAAAATTTTAATGCTTGCCATAGGCGCTATTTTTCATAGTTGCACCCATGGCTGGAAGTTAAAATATAAAGACTATTCTATGGCTGATATACTGAAGAAAGCCTCATTTAGAACTCAAAATATTCAGATATATCTCATTTCTTGTGTTTTCTTATATGTTGATCTTGTAATTAATAAGGTTATTATAAACTCCTGCTCGCACATTCTGATATATTTAAATAAATGGTTTATACACGTTGATGTTCTTGAAATAATAATAAAAACGAAAACGAATATATGGGAATAATCATGTAGCTGATAATAAAAAAAAGAGTTAAACTGAGAATAATAAAAAGATGATGATAATGATGATGAAGAACTAAAAGAACAAAAAGACTTAATTTGAATTATTAGCCCATGAAGGTTAGCATCCAGCATACAGCGAAAAGAGACCTTTAATAATCCCGCGTATCATCTTTATGAGGTGGCAAGACAGTGATGGAGTGAATGATGGTGAAAGTTTTTCTTTTTCGGGCCACCCTGCCTTGGTGGGAATCGGCCAGTGTGATAATAAAAAAAAAGAATAACAAATTAACTGATTCTCAGGTAAGTAAAGAACTGGAAGTGGAGAAAGCGAAGAATAGCGCCATAAAGTGTTTATTTGTTCGCAGAACTTCAAGTGGAGTTAATTTTACTGTGATAATTGGAGTGACCTTTCTTAAATTTGTAACACCTTGTTTGGTAGTAAGTGTATGTTGCATAGTTGTCGAGGCCGTCGATGAATTGTTTCACAAAATCTTGGACTTGTTGTATGGGGCATCAGAGGCACATCTGAAGATTTTAATGCAGAGTCGTGGGTCAACTACTTTGGCAGACATGGTGTTTGGTTCGTATGAGTAGCGAAGAGTGGAAAAGTTTTCCAGGTTTGGCCGGGGTGTGACTGTTGTCTCCAATTTCATCGTCAGAAATGGGAGAGCTTTAATCTTCAGGTAGAGTAGCGGTGTATATGGGGATGGTGACAGACTTGGGTAATTGCAGGGTCAGGAGTATTAATGGGAGGCTGTGGATTTAGGATTCAAGGGATGGTAATGCTTTCTGCGTTGGAGAAGTTTTTCGGTGTTTGCTGATGGTGCGGTATCTAGAAACGTGAAATTGCGAAGAATGCTGAGGCGAAAGAGTTTATTGATTGTGTAGTTGAGGGTTCCTGGGTAGATAGCAGTCTTTATCTGGGCTTACATCATTCAATACATGATCTTGGTGGGAAAATCGTCTGGGAATGATGAAATGAAGTTGTCAGAAGAGGCAGGCCGTTGGGAAGCCAGGAGAATTCTTAGAGTGTCAGCTTGCATCTAGTGAGTGCAGGGTATGTTGGAGTGTCTAGTTATTTTTTTATTGACAATATCCTTCTAAAAAGGGTACGTGACTGCAAGAGCGTGATAATCATTGTTGTAGTTGAGACATTTCGGTTGAGAGGCAGAGATTCAGTTCTTATGAGCGAGTCCTTCCATGCCATAGTTGCAGCAGTATTTCTTTTTCTGCAGAGGGCAGTTCTTCGTGAGGCAAGTAAAGCAAAACAGTTCCAACAAGGGGTGATGTATAACAGTGGAATCGCTCTGGTTTAATGCTCCTTGAATTAACTTGCTAATATGAAAGGCGTAGATTTGCACTGACTGCCTAAGATGCCATGGAGATATCGGTGAAGGTAACCTTGACCATAGCGCTGAAGTTGGAATTTTCGTGATTGAGTCGATGATGGCCCAATCATTTTCATGTTCAACCATGTGTTTAAAGTTGCCTTTTGATTGGCTGGTAAATTCGCGCTCAAGCTTCTTTACAAACACCGATTTCTTGGCCCTCAACGAAGGGAAAAGCGCCACATCGAATTCACAGTCCTTGAGAAAGTTTATTTCTGATGTGGTGATGATCTTGTTGGCTTTATCATCGTTAAAGCAGAGAGCAGTGAAAGAGTCCTTGGCACTGAGAAGGCTGAACAGTTTCACTTGCTGGGTGGTCATCAGGAGTGTTACCAGTCTTTTATATATATCATGTCTGAGATAGTTCCACGAAATGAAGAATGCGCACAATGAGCTCAATGACGGTATTGTAGCTGTAAGACAAGGAGAGCAGACTACCGCTCATGCAGGTCCATTAAAACAAACTCAATTGGAGATATATATGAAGTGTAGAGAAGTGGTGGAGTCGTATGTCAAGCGAAGTTGAAGCTGAAATATCACATGCGGTGTAAGTGAGATGAGATGACGTGTAAGGCAGTATCAAAATAAGGTCAGATAACGTTGGATGTGTCCTCAGTCACAAGGTCTGGTTCAGGTAATTGGGGTTTCTTCATGTTTAAGAATAACCTCATGGATCAATTGCTGCTTATATGCATTCGGATTTCACTAACGATCCACAAATCTTCCACTACCCTAGTACATATTTTCTACTATGACTACTATGTAAAAATAAGCAGCAAGTAAGATACTTGTCCATGCATCCTTTGCCGAGAACTGAACCCGGTCCTTTGAGACAGAGAGAAGAGAGAGATAGAGAGCTCTGCGTTACACCTCATTAGCAATTACCTTCAAAACTAGAGTAGTACTCAGTTGAGTAAAATCTACAAGCCACCCAGTCAGTTTCAGTGTTCCACAAGGAAGGCAGCTTTGTCCATTGTAATAGAATTGTATCTACCACTCATACCAGAATTCTTTCTGCATCCCATATAACTGTGCTATACTATTTGCTTAAGCAAGAAAGGAGATACCTGTTGGTAGAAAGCATGGTAATCACTTCCTCACAGGTGATGAATTCTGTTTGTAAAGAAAAACTAATGATGGTCTCCAGACAGAATAATGGAAATATTGGAAGAGTGTTGAAACCCGGAGATGAGATGTACATCCTAGGTGGGAAATTTGATTCCAAAATGCCTATGAAAAATTACGTGATAACTCTTGCAAGCAATGGAACCAAATTAACAGCACTAAGGTGTACCTTGTACCAGTCTGACAGCAGGGGCTGGAAACTCTATACTAGGCACTTGTGTACTCTCACCTTGAATACGCTCTATTTTCTTGAACTTTCTGTCCTCTGTCTTAACTGCAAATTCTGCAACGGTTCTGTGTCTTATCTTACATC